CCTGCCACTGTATGTCATCATTACTGTAATTGCTATCAGTTGTACTACAGTAAAAATCACCCAAACTAATGACAGATGGACTTTGATGAAACCAAGTAAAGTGCAGCGGAGATGGGATCAGAACTGACTTCAGCAGCTGACGCCCAGCAACTTCCCTGAGATTGACATCTTCAGCCCACAGACCATGGGCATGGGCCACACCAGGTACCATTCCAGCACCACTGTTTTGCCAATTGACGGGGTCAACAGAAAGGACACAGACACCAAGTTAAAAAGATAAGCTTATTTTACTTTAGTTAAAAGCAGCATAAAGAATAAGCAAGATAATGCACCTAATCTTTCCTACATAGATTTAACTATAGTGATTAAGAAAGATACATCACCAATTGCCCTGATACTTTATCATCATCGAGATCCATGGTTCAGCTGGGGAGCCCCGTCACAGCGAAGGATCGGAGAACCGCTCCAGGCAACTGGAAAATCCTACGCAGTGCGTCCACTTGTAGGTGAGGTCTCCATCTTTGCTGCAAGACGGTCTTGCTTATATTCAGTTTAACAAACAAATCTACATGTCAAAATGCACGGAAACATCTGGCAGATTGGCTTGCCTTATTCCGGCACGTCCAGGATCTGGCCAGGATCCCAGGCACACTTTAATTTCTCCTTGATAATCTGCATCAATCACTCCTCCCATGACATGAATACTCTTCAAGGCTAGGCTCAAGTGAGCAGTTATAAAACCGAAGTGTGTGAGGGTAATTTGAATTCCTATTCCAGTATTGATAACTCTCATCTGTTTTTGATTTATTCTGATCCATTCCAGTGCAGAGCGATCTAGCCCTGCAGCCTCTGGAGTGGCCCAATAAGGAGCCATCGCACCTGGAACAATTTCCCAGTAAGTCAAAGTCTCACTCACTGTTAAAGGTTCCTGTTTTCGGTCCGGGACCTCACATACATCTTAACCATAACATCCTTGTTCCTGTCTCGATGGTATAAACAAAGGCAGGATGCCCCTGTTTCTGATTAGATATCACACCAGCTGAGTACGATACTTTCCAAGCTCTTGCTGACTCAACATTTCCATGCTTACATGTCCCCGCTCCGCCAACCAAACCTCCACAATTCCCCCGTTTTTATTTTGGACCAGCCACACATTGCTTGCTACTTGCGTTAATAGCTTCTTAATACATGAAAGCGCACAGCTAAATATCAACATTCCTACAACAATCATAATTAAAATCAGCAATACACTTTGAATTATCCTTTTTAGCCAGCCTCCTATACCCAACCAGTTGGTTAGACATTCTAGCCCAAAAAATCCAACATCTTTTTGTATTTTCTGAGAGTGCTCCATGAGCTGCTTGATTTCCGCGTGTATAGAACTGGAATTGTCCTCCAGATCCATGCAACACATCCCTTTAAAATCTTCACAGCCGTGTCCATGAGCTAAAAGCAAAAAATCAATAGCCATACGATTTTGCAGTACAGCGTGCTGTACAGAGTCTACACTTCCTGCTAGGTCTGATAAGACTCTATTGGTTAGATTAGCTTGTTTTACTACCCAACAAGACAGCGCTTCTAAGTTTCTGTGAGCTCGGGCAGCAGCAACACCTGGAGTAAAAAAGGAGGCAAAAACTACTTCCCATTTGTTCCAGAGCTGAACATCATCATCACAGCTGTTATCAAGGACTTGGGCAAGGTTTCTTTTCCATCTTACCGGGTTCGATTTGCTGGGGTGATGATGTGGCAAGGCCAAACTGAGGCGACCAATCGTGCACGGGCTTCCCACGGGTTTAGAAGGGATCCCGTTCCATGCTCTGTTGCCACAGATGAGAAAGAGGCCAGGGGGTAACCTCCTGGGGTACCATATCCCTGGCGCTGGGTTGGATGAGTTTCGGCTAAGATGTTTGCACCAGGTCGCCTCCCAATTTGATACATTTCCAATTGGAGACACGGGGGTAGCAATGGTTGCATTACAAGGGAGGGTGGAGGGCTCCCCGGCACATGCTCCGTTTCCCTTGCTCTGAGTTGCATTCACAAATATACAATAAGGAGCATTTAACGAATCGACGAGCTCGATTTCCTGAGGATTGGGGCCAAAGGAGAGATGGTCATCCCAGTTTTCGAACTTCTCAAACCACTGACTCATATTACGAGCCCCACCTTTGAGCCACTTCCCGAGGGTAAGATTTAAGGTAGGCCAGTCTGACTCGTTTAGTGGCACCCCTACCAAGCAAGTGATAAAGGGTGCACTAGGGGTAGATAGACTAGCACAGAATGTAGTGGTGCTAGCAGCTCTACTCAGTGTTACCCATACGTTCTCCCTAGGATCAAAGTGACCCCTCCTGATGTCGAGGGCCTCGAGAGGACTTACGAAGCACAACGGCAGCAGAAGGATGAGCCACTTCGTCCCACCCCGCGGGGTCCATGACCCAAGTATGTGGGACGCGGATGCCATGCCCACACGTTATGTTCAACACTCGCGACCTCTTCTGGCTAAGGATTCTACCAACTTCTTTGGCAATCTTCTAACGGACTTCTGCAATTATTTTTGTTCCTCAGATTCGTATAACCCCAACCCTTTGATACCGGGTAGACCAGTACTTTCTCGCAGGGTGCCAATGAGCGACCTTTTTCGCCACTTGAAGTCGCAGTTTGCACACCATAAGCCTAGTAACTGAGATTGGTGGATCCAAAGTTCCCTTTTACAGTTAGAACACCAGAGCTTGACCCAAAGTTTACAATTCTGCTGATGACAATAAGGGCAGGCCTTAAAATGAGGTAGCCTGGGGCGATAGCGTGTTAGCTCTAAAATCAAATGTTCAGGCTCGACCAATGTCGACCATGCCAACAGGGGCTGAAAAAAGGGGGGCGATCGGCTGTATCAGCTTATCTACAGCTAGGTGAAGACGGAGTATCACTTTCTCTTGTCTCTCGGGGTTCTGCTGAGCTGCCGTCGCCAGCCTCCTCAACTGCTGGCCTCACCCACCGGCTGGGAACCCAGACGGTACCTGTAGGGGTGGAAACACAGACATAACCGCGACCAACATAAACAACATCAACAGGTCCTCCCCACTGCCCTGTCTTGGCGTCTTTGTATAATACTTTCATCCGAAGGGCAGTATTATCATGTCCAGGTACATGATGTCTGACGATGGGTGGGGCATCATTAGTCCCAAACACACACAAGTAGTTAAGCACAAAAAGTGCCTTATGGACCCTTTCACGAACGTCTATCACGTCCTTAAATTTATCTAGGTATCTTTTCAATGTTCCATTGGCCCTTTCTACTATTGCTTGCCCAGTTGGGGAATGTGGAATGCCTGTTATATGTGTAATGTCCCAGAGCTGCATGAATCGTTTCAAAGGCCCACTGCTATATGCCGGACCATTATCGGTCTTGATAGTGGCGGGTACCCCCATTACGGCAAAGCAACTAGTCAAATGCCGCCGAACATCGCGGACCTTTTCCCCTGGCTGTGGGGTGGCCCATATCATATGGCTGTAAGTGTCTACTGTAACATGCAAATACTTTAACCGGCCTAACGAAGAAACATGCGTAACGTCCATCTGCCAAATCTCATTAGCCTTCAGCCCTTTAGGGTTTACTCCACAGCCAAGACCTATGCCAGAATTGTGGTGACTGCATATAGCACAAGCTTTGACAATTGCACGAGCTTCTTCTAGCGGTATCTTGTACGCTTGCGCTAGTCCTTTGGCATTCTGATGGAACATTGCATGAGCCTCACAAGCACGACAATGCGGTGACAACGGGGGTTCTATGATGGTCGCAACAAGACGGTCAGCTCTAGCGTTTCCTTCCCCGAGACCTTCATCCCATTGGTGACTCCTAATATGAAGCACCGCATAGGGCTCAGTTCTCTGCGCAATTGCCAGTTGGAGGCTCACAAGAAGACTTGACAGTCGGCAATTCTGTATATCCCGTAGGCTGGCGTCCTCAATGTGATTAGCAATTCCCACTACGTAGAGAGAATCTGATACAATATTCAGCGAACAGTGCT